CGGTGCATCGGCCGCGGGGGAGCCGCAGCAGCTCCTATAGGAGCCTGGGCTTTCGCAGGGGACCTATGGCTACAGCACAGCCCCTATAGAGAGCTGATGCCTTAAAGGAAGGGCTCATCTAAATCCGATAGCACCTGTACAGGCTGCGGAGCTACTGGGGGGTCTATGGGCACCGCCTTGGGGCACCTATAGGGCTGCACTTTGACGTGGTGGCCAAGCGTGGTGGCCTATGGAGATGCAGTGCCTTCATGGGGGACCCTATGGCCAAGGCCGGGTTCAGCTGGTACCCTGCGAGCAGGGCTGTGTGGCAGCAGCTGGTGCCTATGGAGCCGAGGCCGCGCCGGTACCTACCCCCTTCCATGTCCTCTGTCCAGTTGCGGCTGCTACTCGTGGGCGAGTTGGACGAGGGGTAGTACTCGCCGCCCGGGCTCGTGTCTATGTCGTCCTCCATGGAGCCGGACTTGTGCCGCTTGCTCCTGCGGGGCCAAGGAGCAGGCAGGGCTCAGGCCAGCCCGGCCGCCGCCCGGCCGCCTGGGCCCCCGCGCCCGGCTCCAGCGATGGCTAACGGGGAGATGCCCCCTGGGCACGCGCTGCTCCCGCTGTCATGGGCCCTGCGCGCCGCGGAGCCGTCAGGGGCTCTTTGCAGCCCGGGGACTGCATCTGCACGTCCAGCCCGTGGGCAGGGGTCCCAACGCGCCAAGCGGGGCCGTGTGCGGCGAACCCGGCACTGCGGAGCAGGACCCAACCTGCCTTTCCATTCCCGCCCGGTGCCGTGCCCAGGCTGGCACCAGCATGGCCCCGGCATCGCCCTGGCACCTACCCGCTCGAGGAGGTGCTCGGTAGCGTCCTTCTCATGCCCGTGCTCGAGGGGTTCAGGTCGTAGGCCAGGTGGCCCTGCAGCTCCCCCAAGGAGAAATTTGGCCCCGTGCCCGTCACCACCGGCGCTGCAAGGAGAGAGGGGTGTCAGGAGCAGCCCGTGCCCGGCCGCGGGGACAGGGACACGGAGCCAGCCCTGCCCCGGGGACGCCGGGGCTCTCTGGGCACCATGCTGGAGCCACACTCACTTCGGGACACCTGGATGAGCTCAGTGACGCTGAACACCCCCGAGGTCACAAAGCTTTCCTGGAAGTCTGTTGAATCTGTGAGAGAGAGGGGAGAGCTCTGAGCAGCAGCGGGACACCCGTGTAGCCCTGCTACCTCTGACCCTCACCTTGGGGTGCCCCCGCACCCAAAATCTCCCCGCTGGCTGCTGCTCGCCAGGCCATGGGGTGGCCAGGGCAGCCTGGGGGATGTGGAACCCCACCCAGGTCCCCCTGGAGCAGCCCGGGGCTGCGCCAAGTCCCACAGGGCACCCTGCGTGCTGGCTGCTCCAGGCGCACAGCCCCGGGCATCGCGGGAGGCGCCGAGCCATGCGCGGGATGCAGGGGGTGTCCGGATGCGTGTCAGCATCTCCAGCACTGTCCTTGTCCCCAGGTGGGAGGGACAGTGGGGACCTGAGCGCCGCTGCCGTTCCCAGTGGGGCTCTGCAGGGGCTCCTTGTGCCACCGTGGCCACATCTCTGGACCTCACATTGTCCCCAAATGATCCCACCTGCTCCTGCCCCAGCCCCGCTGGGGCTGCGGCCGGGCAGGAGCCGTCGCGCACGGGGCGCGGGGCGGCAGGCGCCGCAGCCATCGCTCAGCCGCGCGGCAGCCCTGCGTGCTGAGTCAGCGCTGCGGCGGCGCGGGCCGGGCCGGCTCCTGCGCGCGCACAAAACCCCAAGCTCAGCACTTTCCTCTCCACAGCCGTTTTGCATTCGGCACAAACCCGTCCTTCCCTTTCCGCTCCCATCCTGGCTCTTCCTGCCCGAGGCAAATCCATCCTGCGCCTCCTGCCGAGGCTGTGTCTGCCACAGGGTCCCTGAGGATTTTGCATTGGGCTCCCCTGGTCCCCTTGGGGCACCCTGCTCCCACCCTGCCGCCTGTACGTCCCGCTGCAGACCCGGAGCAAACGGAGGCTGCTGAGGGCGGCCGGGGGTGCTGGAGGCTGTTCCAGATCCCGGGCAGGCAGGGCGGAAGGGAGGGCTTGGAGCTGCCGTGGCCCCGCTTACCCAGCGTGATGGGCTTGCTGTCCTCCTGGTCGGAGCCGATGCCCGTGCGGGGACTGCCGCTCTGCTCGGAATCTGCAATGGGAGGGAATGGTGTGAGGCACCGCGTGCCGCAAGCGCCGGCCCCGTGCTGTGGGGCTCAGCGGCACCCGGCCCCCATGGCTCTGTCACCGCTTGGTGCTGCCCCAGGCGGGACGATGGGGCTGCTGGCACAAGTGGGAAATTGAGGCCCGGCTCCTCGGAGCGCTACACGCAGCCCGCGGCCTCGCACGTCCCCTGCAACGGGCCGGAGCAGCGCGGCTGGCGAGGGCTCCGGCGGTGGCTCCGCGTCCCCCTGGCTGCCCCTTCCCTTACTCAGTTAAAACGGCCCCGTGCGGCCGCCGGGGTTCCCATGGCGACAGCCGAACGCTGGTGGCCGCGTTAAGTAACCGGCTTCGGGGCCCTGGAGCCGCCACCGGCAACAGGGGAGCCCCACCGGGGCCATCGCGGCCGCTCACGGCCCAGGAGGCCGTGGCAGCCTTGGGCAGCCCTGCGATGGGGCCGACCCACTGCATTTGCACCGGTGATGCGCTCGGAGCATCCTGCGAGATCGCCTCGCTCTGGAGCCCGGGGTGCCCTGTGCCCCTCAGGTGTCTGCATGCGTGGGAAGCAGGAATCGTTTCCTTGCAGCTCGGAGTTCCCCCCTAAATTTCACAGCGCCTCGGGAGGCCTCTCCCTGCGGCGCCTCCACTCCCATCCCTCGCACTCGGCTCCGTGCAAGGGCAGCGCTGGGAGCAGCCGGGAGCACCGGCGGGGAGCAGGGAGACGGTCCCTCCGCTGCGCCGGTGCCTGGG